CCCTAGAACCTCTTGGATGGTTTTCCCGGAACCTGTATAAAAAAAACTCGAGTAAATTTCATGTTACCTCAACCATTCAACACCCCCCCCCCCCCGCCACACACACACACACACTCCCTCACACAACCTCCAGCACCACGTACTTCTCACTACACCGAAATCCGCCACGCCCCTTATTTGTCACGGAATCGTTCAGGCCAGATTCTTTTCTAACCCGCCTGTCCGGCACGAACCTGCCATTTTACACAGGCTGATGTTTACTTGAGGGAACGGTCGTCTCTCCTTGTCATTCCTTTAATTCACATTTTGCTAACTTCCTTCAATGCGATTAAGACGGCCCAATGCTTACAAAAACATTTTGCTAACTTCCTTCAATACGATTAGGACGGCCCAATGCTTACAAAACTTAAACTTAAAATGGAAAAAAAAACGTAGATCTTAACATGCGCTATTAATTAAATGTCCTGACGTAAAGGCTAAGATCCAATTAATAAGTGGAATACAAAATGCATTTAAAAATGCCCTTGATATTTTAAGCCGGACGGACACATGAGTTGAGCTCGACTTAATTTCACGGTCCAGTGACCATGTGAGTGACCAGGGGCCATCAGGCAATGACAACATGACAGCCGGGTCGATATGCCCGGGGACCTCGTGTCTAGGGTCCATGTAAACAGGGTGGGTGGTGTGTGGGGTTTGTGTGGTGTTGTGTGGAGGTTAGTGTGGGGTTGTGTGGGGTTTAGTGTGGTGTTCTGTGGTTCTAGAGTGTTGTGCCATACAGAGTAAGTCGGTGTGTCATTACAACAAAACCACCACTAAATGCCAAAAGAACCCAACCTGAGACGTAACATTGATGCATCCCTGCATGATGACTAATAACTAACATTTATCAACTAAAGAAACCAACACAAACAGCCTACACCACGTCATTATTCCAATACGACTAGAAATCAGCCCCAATAAACTGACAGTCGAAAGGTACACACCAAATCAACAGTGTCATCATCATAGACTTAAGTACCGCGCGAATGTCTTGTGTCTTACTAGCATGAATCCGTATACGGCTAACATAAGATAGTGCCAGCTTCACACAATTAGAACATGCTAATACACGGGTTATATCCCTTTACACAGAATGTTTTGCTAGTAAAAATGTAACGTCCGTATCCGGAATAAACAATCTTCTGAAAAACGAAATGTCCATTTGGAGAAAACAAAACCCGCAGCTAAAACACTATGTCCATTTAGACAGAACAAATCTGCTACCAAAACGAAATGTCCATTTAGACAGAACAAATCTGCTACCAAAACGAAATGTCCATAAAGACAGAACAAATCTGCTACTAAAACGAAATGTCCATAAAGACAAAAGACAGTCTGCTAGTGTCCACTCTAGTCCGGCAGCCCGTTAGAGCCCTTGGGGCGGGACAGCGAGGGGTCGCCAAGTTTGGACAGGATTAGCAGGGGCGGGGTAGGGGGAGGTGGAGGAATTTTGGAGAGACAAAGTGGACAGAAGAAGTGTGTGGGGGGAGGGAAGGCGCCACTGGGGGAGAAAGTGTGGGAGAGGGGGCGCCATAATGGGAGGAAGATGCGAAAAGCAAACAGCTTGTGTCAAGTAATCACCGCATGGTGTGAGGAGGGGGGTGGTCTCTGTTCACCACAAGACGATGCTGAGGGGGAGGAGGTGGGAGAGTTCAGAGTGTGGGGGTGTAGTCCTTGATGAAAGAAGCAATGAAAAGTCAACGAATATACAATGAAAAGTCAACGAATATACAATGAAAAGTCTACGAATACACAATGAAAAGTCAAGTAATATACAATGAAAAGTCAACGAATACACAATGAAAAGTCAACGAATACACAATGAAAAGTCAACGAATACACAATGAAAAGTCAACGAATACACAATGAAAAGTCAACGAATACACAATGAAAAGTCAACGAATACACAATGAAAAGTAAAGAATACACAATGAAAAGTCAACGAATACACAATGAAAAGGCAACGAATACACAATGAAAAGTCAAGTAATATACAATGAAAAGTCAACGAATACACAATGAAAAGTCAACGAATACACAATGAAAAGTAAAGAACACACAATGAAAAGTAAAGAATACACAATGAAAAGTAAAGAACACAATGAAAAGTCAACGAATACACAATGAAAGGTCAGCGAATACAAAAGTAGGGCCTACTTAAATATCAGTCAGTGGGCGAAGCAGTTTATTGAACTGGAATAATAATAAGGGAGATAACTATTGCAAAACATTCTGGCATTTATTGGATGACAAATGTATCATTGTCCAACCATCAAATCACGCAGTCCGTTTCATTATTCTTTCACGGAAATTGCTGGAGTAGCAATGGCCTAAAGCAGGACAGCATAAACCATATTGTTATATATATTTAGCTTTAGACATTCTGAATGATGAACCACGGTTAAGTTTACTAGCCTATCTCTACTTAGAGCAGATTGATTTTTTGACTTACTGTTTTGTCGCTTCGATGAAAATGCTTACTTTAAATGTTTTCTTTCGGTAGTTATTTCCTTTAAATCACAACCACTAGATGAGGGGGTAATCCATAAATGACGTCACACTAGAAGGGGGGGGGGGGGTCCGTAATTTTGTGACGGTGTGTGATGAGGGGGACAGTGGGCGGTTCAGATGGTGCGACGTCACACTTTTGCATTATAAAAAAGCAATGTTAAAAACTAATTTAAAACCGTATTTCGCGTTTTAGAAAACTGTTTTTAATAAATTGCAATAGGAATTGATTAAAATACTCTATATTGACAGAAATCAGACAAGATTTTGGAAAAAATGTCTCTGTTTTAAGAAAAATTCAACTGCAATTTTGAGGGTAGGTTGTAGACTGAGGTGTGACGTTATTTTAGGGGTGGGGGTCTGGCATTTTGTGACGATGTGTGACGGAGGGGAGGGGGGATGTAAAAATTGTCAAAAAAAAAGCGTGACGACATTTATAGATGACCCCTGAGTAACCCATAGCGTAGTATTAGCGCGAGGTGCTAATTGAAAACATTAGTTCCTTAAATAACTCTCATTTAGCAGGGGAAAGGTGCTAACACGAGCCCTTTTTTTCTTCGGTTTGTTTCTCATAATTATGTGTATGTTTGCTGTGCAGACTAAACTGATTGCACGCTTTCTGAAAAATACCCGTTAACCGGAGTTTAAAAAAAAAAAAAACTTAACCGCCACCATCACAACACGTAGTCCTTCCATTGACACATTAACCATCCGTTTAAAGAGAATTTATTTTATTAATATAGGCACACTAGACGTTGTTATAATGAGTTTTCAGTAGTTTAGATTTGGTTTTGTTTTTCTAGGCTGGTGAGCTTCTATAGGACCCCTCACCACATGAGGGATAGGTCTACTGCGTCCTGGGTGGGCAGCATTAGTTATTTCCTTTGACGATAACCGGACTACACTCAAAATATATGACGGGGGGGGGGGGGGGGGAGGAGAACGTAAAAGCAGTTAGCTTTAGACAGCTGGATTTGCAGGTTTTCGAATTGAAACCAGAATAGACAAAACACAGCAAAAATAAATTTAAAAAAAAAATAAAAACAAAAAAACAAAACAAAAACAACGAAAAAATAAATAAATAAATAAAAGCGTATTATAGAAAAAAATAAAAACAACAACCAGAAATGTCAACAAATTATTTTTCAAAAGCCAATACGGCAACTTGAACAGTTTCCTACCGAGATGGGTGTTGTACGGTCTGAATGAAGCAGGAACAAATCCTAATGGGACAGTTCAAATAGAGAGTCAGATAATTATCAGTACCAAACTATCTCAGACTTAATGACAGTCATTGATAGGTGTAGCTGTATTGGTAAACATAGTTGAATCGTAATGTAAGTCAACTGTCAACACACTGTTAGGCAAACTACTAAAACAGCTACTTTACTTTAAGATGATATATGTGAAGTCTCACAAAGATGCGCTCATTAATTACTGCTAAAACATGGAGTTGATGAAGCAAGAAGACATGATATATTTTAACATAGTGGTATGTCATTAACATATTTTAAAGATAGATGTAAACACATATGATATATACAAATTAAATAAATAAATAAAAAAATTCAACAAATAAATAAATTAACAAAAAATAATTCTAAAAAAAAAAAAAAAATGATAGGGAAAATGTGCAATGAGCAGACAGTGAAGTGTGAGCGAAGTGACGTGTCCTCTAGTTTGATCACGTGGTGTGTCAAGCGACACATGTGTACTAGGTCAAGTGAGTTCTCACCGTATCTTGCGTGTTAGACAAAACATTGTCTGTGATTTGGTCTAGTTAAAACAACTGGCTTTAATTAATTTTTAAACCACGTTAACTTTGTTAGTAGTTATTGATAACATTTATTTGTGTTAATCGTTAAAGCCATTACTTTTATTATTATGAAATAATACATTCGTTTGTTAATCGTATTAAGGAAATACAACACAAATGATATGTGTGATTAAAGACGTTATTTGCTGAGCACAATGTTAAGGGACGGCCTATAGAGTTAGGACCCCTGAAGTATGTACAGTGGAACAATCCGACCAATAAGATCATACACTTAAGGTAAGGCGATGTGAAGGAGGGGGGGGGTGGTAAATATTCCACAACTGGTCAACAAAGTGGCCTTTAAAGAAAGCTGAAGTGTTTTGAGGTTGACACAACAGTGATGTATTCAACATTTGTATAATACATTTGGGATAACTACGGAGGCCAAAAATTTGAAAAGGGGCTTTTTCGATTTTTTATAAAATTTTATTTTGTGATGCCTACTTCAAAAAAAAAATTACAACTTTAGTATAAAAAATAGTCATTCTCTTTTTAAACAACTATGTTGTGTTTACATTTTTAAAAAGCTTACCCCTCCCCCCCCCCTAATTGTAAACAAACTCCACTTATGTTTCCACCGTACATACATGTTAAACAAAACAAAAAACAACTAAAAAGGGAGGTAATTACTCACAATGCTGGGGAAGCATGCGGAGTGCTCTTCCTTGAGAGGTTGGGGGAGGAGTTGTGAGGGCTCTTGCCGCTGTCCCCTGCCAACTCACGGGCGCTCTTCCCCTTCCTGCGGCTCAGACGGCCCAGGCTCATGCTCCTTCGTAGTGATCCCATCAGGGACGTGCTACACGGGAAGAAGGGGACGGGTGGGTTGGGGGGATGGTCAGAAAATTAGAAGGCCGTGGAGTGAGGACTAAAGAATTAGAATGTTTACAGCAACCAGGGATTGTGTTAGTGGTGAGGTAATTTTTTTAATGGTCGTCATCAGTTGGCTGGTGAAGAAATTACTGTAAGACTTTTGCAAGACTAGGGTTTGTTTTATGGGCAACTTGTAGTAATATTTAAATAGCGAATCAAAATGGGCCATTAGTATATGTGTAATGTGTTATTCGCTATATACTATGTTATGTTTAACTGGTATGTTATATGTTAATATGGTTCCCATTATGTCAAACTGCGTGCAGTTTATTTGATTACAATAAGTGGTTAAAAAACGCCACATTCTTTATTTTTGGACTAATTCTAAACTGTCCCCGCCCCCACCCCAACCAGGAGAAAAAAATAAAAATAGAAAGAATGGGTTAAATTGATATGTCTGAAAGATGTACTTGCAAAGTCCGTGCATGCTGAACAAAACAGCCAGTTGTAAATGATTAAAATGTAGTGAAAACAAAGCAAAACATGCCGTCGTAATGTGAACACATAATGAAACGTGTAACGTGTGTATGTTGTTCATATTATGTGCTTAGTGATATATCGACCAGAGCTGTGCTGACGATGCAATAGCAGAACAGTCAAGTGTGTTTTGTGACGTAATGAAAGTAAAGTGTGTATACATATTAATACAGCCGCTCATCTGTGTTTTGTGACGTAATGGCCAGACAACGAAGTGTGTCCATTTGTTAAGCTACTCAGCTGTGCTGTGACGTAGTCGTGTGTTCCTGCCATAGCTAAAAGCCCTATTTTGACTACACATCTAGTACACCTAACCTACCTTAAAAATCCTGGCCTATAAATAAAAAAAAAAAAACAATAACATATCTTAAACACATATTTACGGTGTTTTAGAATAATTATTAAAAAAAAACACCTGCTAAGCAAACTATGTGTATTCACATATAAGTCAAATAAAAAATAATAATAACAGTTTGGTTTGCTCTTTCTTGGTTTACCCATACATCGACCCGACCCCACACATCGACCCGACCCCAAACACAGACACGACCCCACACACAAATCCGACCCCACACACAAACCCGACCCAGTACTGAGGTATCACATATAAGAGCAATATCATGCAACATTAAAGCATGTAATACTCATTGCATATATCATGTATATAATGTATATGGCTGTAAGCTACAAATATAATATACATAATACATGTACATAGCGGTAAGGTACAAAAAAAAAATAAACATCATCACATAATGCATTATATGTACGTAAACAGAGTATGTATATAACGGCAGAGTAAGCGTTATATAATATGTACAGTAAATATTATATCACACGACGCAATATCATTAACGTTGGAAGGTTATATTATAAGGTACATTATCAGATTCACGTGTTTTAAGATTATTGTAGGCTACAAGTAAGCGTGACCAAAAGAGTTTATATTGGTGGGTATTTAAAGACACATACAATAATAATAATATGGTGGGGAAGAGCAGAATCGGTTGGGGAAGAACCCTGGTTGAGAGGGGGTTGGGAACCCTTGTGTAGTAGGGTTAGAGCATCCGGAGGAGAACCCTGGTTGAGAGGGGGTTGTGAACCCTTGTGTAATATTGTTCGACCATCCTAAAGAACCACGATGGTTCGACCATCTGGGGTAGAGCCCTGGTAGAGAGGGGGTTGTGAACCCTTGTGTAGTAGGGTTCGACCATACGGGGGAGAGCCCTGGTAGAGAGGGGGTTGTGAACCCTTGTGTAATAGGGTTCGACCATCCGGAGGAGAACTCTGGTAGAGAGGGGGTTGGGAACCCTGGATGAGAGGGGGTTGTGAACCCTTGTGTAGTAGGGTTCGACCATCCTAAAGAACCACGAGGCAGGAAGGGTGAGTAGTTAGCTGGGATGGGTGAGTGTCAACTTCCGGTGTTTCCTGGGCTAGAAGTGTGTTGTTCCTTCGTGAGTGTGTGTGTGTGAGTGAGTGTGTTTACCCTGGTGTGTGTTTGACAGTTTTTAAATGTGTGCATTTCAAATCGTTAGGCATAATGGGAAAACAAATCATGTAACATTCTTTAGCTAAAGGAAACATCAACTAACAACAATGCATCAATTTGTTATAAATAAATTTAAAAAATAAACGAAAAAAAAACGTGATATAAGATAACAAGGTCTACCCCTGCGCTAGTTAGCATGGTGTTTATCGTCTCTTTGTTTCCCTTTAAAATCTACTTCAAATGCGTTTATATTAGTAGGTTTAAAGACGTACCAGCCTTCTTTATCGTCAAATACATATATTACACTTTTTTTCATGTGTGTAATATCGCATACACAGGATACATAAACACATGCAGCTTTCACAAAACTACACATACTCGTATAAACAGGTCATTAACGAACACACACTATTCATTAACATACAAATTCACAATGTTCAATGAAAAAAAATAAATCGTATAGATATCATTCTAGATATTTGTATACAACATACATAAGCAGCAACAGTTTCAACAATACATACATAGAAGTTGTCGCACAAGAAAGACACTGAACACAAACCCTACATCACAAGAAACATACACCGAACACAAACCCAACAAGAAGAATATGATAAAAAGAGTCAGGGGAAAGGACAGGAACAAATATAACAAATAAACAAAGATTAAACAACACAGAGAGACAAAGTACACAGTACACAGAAAGTACATAGCAGATAGAGAGGCAGACAGAGAGGCAGACAGAGAGGCATGCAGATAGGCATGCAGAGAGTGTCCTAACAGAGAGGCAGACAGAGAGGCAGACAGATAGGCATGCAGAGAGTGTCCCACCTCTCCTCATTCTGTACAAACTCCTCCACCTTCTGCTTGCTCTTCTCCGAGAGGAAACGGCTCCTCTTCACCATCTCCCGGCTCCTCCTGATCTTCTCCGAGGAGGAGGAGAATCTGTCCCTGGAGATGGCCCTACTCATTGTGTCACGTGACTCCCGTACAGTGTCCTAATCAACGCTCGCGTCACTGTCAACGTTCAGATTCATCCAGTGTTGGAATATCCGTGTACTTATCCATGTTTCAACAAGTAATCACTGAACAAATCCATGAAACATGTTTCAGGAATAAGTGCCTCACTGTTTCCTTCAAGCTTTCTCTGGTTTTAAATCAACGTGTTTAGCAATGCGCGAGCATGCTGTACTTTTACAAGGAATATCCTTTAATTAACACGTGAAATAAAATCGTCTATTTAACGAATTAAATATGATATAATTTATTTAAAAAGTCTAATTAGCTCAAAGAATAATATGCAAATTAATTATAATGATGTTTTAAACAAAGTTTTAACTTGATAAAATTTGAAATACGGTACACACTATTCACTTGAACAGGTAAACATCACAAAGCTAGCATGACTTGGCTTCAAGATTTGAACGCAAACAGAACAGATTATCGCAGGTTGCTTGCTGACTTGACCACGTCAGACACACCAATAAACCAACAGGGAATGGGGTAAGTGTCCCCTAGACGGTGTTAGCCACTCACCCACAGCTGAAGACATTTTAATTTGTGGACTCACAACCCTTCCACTTGAACTCGGGGGTCAGAGGTCAGGCTAAATATAGCTCAGCCACTTAATGGTGCTTGGGATTCAAAGTGTAGTGGTAGTGTAAGTGTTACCACTGCCTGCTCAACACATTTATGCTAGTGTTACCACAACCTGGACACATTTATGGTAGTGTTACCACTGCCTGCTCACATTTTGAGGTAGTGTTACCACTGCTTGGTCACATTTTGAGGTAATTTTATCACTGCCTGGTCACATTATGAGATAGGTCACCAAACTAGATAAGATCAAACTTTTGATGGATGGCTAGAAAAAATTTGGACATCGCCAATGAGGGATGAAACTAGAGTCTAATTTAGGCCTTAGCTTTAAGTCCATCACACAGTACTACAGTGGGATTTGAACTAGGAACATTGAGTACTTCATCGTTTAATCAAGCGCTCTACACCTGCACTCCATCACGTATGGTTTGAGAACCGCAATGTTTGTAGTTTGTGACCTGGAGTTTGTAAAACCATTAGGGTACTTTACACTCGGGGTTACGGTTGCCTGAGGGAGGGGAGGGTAGGGGGGGGATGATAAAATAAACCAGGTCTCAGTAGGAAGAGGGGGGGGTGTAGATCAAGTAGGTCTGGAAAGGTCAATGCTCTAAAGCACGTGTTTACGTGAGCGGCGCCTTAACTAAATGGGAGCTAAACACCGGAGCTAAACAAGGAGCTAAAGATACTTAAGCTGTAAGTACTAGAGTTGAACACTTTGAACACCGAACTATGCCAGCTTTAGAAGCTAATGTAGGCCAACTGCTGTCGTGTTTCCGTACGTACATAATTATGGCACGTGTTTACAATAAAGGCTCCTTTTAAAACGGTACCATTTACGAATAGGTACATGAATTGGAAACACGGTTTAAAAAAAAACAACATTTAACATATTTAGCAGCGTGCTCGTGAACGCACGTGGTGTTGACGTGCCGAGTTCGAACTGGATGAAATGCTACAGGAAATGCGGGCATTATATGACACCATGATTAAAGGTGACTTGACACATGGCCCAATGATTGCAGGTGACCTGGTACACAATTGACCCAATGATTGAAGGCGACTTGACCCACATTGACCCAATGATTGAAGGCGACTTGACCCACAATTGACCCAAAGATTGCAGGTGACCTGACCCACAATTGACCCAAAGATTGCAGGTGACCTGGTCTAGACATGACCAGAAGACTAAAGCTTATTTTGTTCAAATTTGACGAGAAAAAAAAACGTTCCTTGAAAAAAAAACTGCTAAAGAGCAGAAGCCCACTAACATTGCTGGACAAAGACAGACATCACCCTACATACAGTGCTGATACACGAGTTAAACAATGACCACATGTTTTTTTGACGTATTTCCCTAGTTA